TCTCTTAGGAGAGGGAGCAGTGGTTGGCTGGGAGAAAGGTCTGAAGCAGCTCAGATAAGAAAGATAAGTAAGAATATTTTGGTTTGTTTTTTGCAGTGCCTGGGTGATGTTGTGGGATGGATGTTTACAATCCAGGCTTTTCCTGGTGGCCAGCCCAAACCTCCCAAGGCAGTGCTTGTGGAAAGGAAGGAGCAGAGAGAAGTGTCTTCAAGCTGTGTGTTCCAAGCAGCCTTTTCAGCAGAGCATAATGAAGTAGGGCAGGGAAGACAAAAGGATGGAGAAAATCAGCTGGAGGAGGCCGTGGCTCAGTCGGGGAGCACCAAGTACAAGAGTACAGCAGGGTTCATCTCCAAAGGGAAAGTCAGCAAGGCCTCAAGTTAGAGAAATTAATAGGAATGTATCAAGGAAGTTGTTTGAGAGCTGCTGAGAATGGTTTGGGACTCACTGGGGCAGATATGTTAGATCTTTTAAAAAATACATGTATTTATTGGTTACCTGCTGGTGAAACCCATCAGACTTGCAGATAAAAGGCTGGGAATTTGCAGCACAGAATTCATCTGCATTAAGACATTTTCTTCTCTGGAAACAAGTTAATATAACCCCAGCTGTGCCAGAATCTTTTGGTTTTCCTCATTCTGAAATTTCTTGTGGGGGAACTGGTTCAACTTGGAATAACCTGGTCTGGTGGAAGGTGTCCCTGCTGAGGTTCCTCCCAATGCAAACCAGTCTGTGAGTCTATGATTCAATAATTTCTCATTTATTTAGGCTCAGAGGGGGGTTTGTGTAAGCTCTGCCTATTTCAAATAGGCAAACACAATGTGCAGGTGTTTTGCCATCACATTCAGGTTCACCTGTGCAACAAGTGATCCCACCTTCCTAGTCCTTTTCAGGGAGGACAGGGATTTCCTTTACCATATTTCAATATGCAGTCTATAATGTTAAATTGAATTAATAACTGAATTATCATTTTTTGATCCTCTGGCTTTTAAGCAGATCATAAACTTCAGCACACGAAATGTCGAGATTTTTCCTGCCTCAGCGTTTATTTTTTTGGCCACTCTGAGGTCAGCAAATTCCAAAGTCAAGAGCTGCTTTGTGCTTATAAATTATCTATTTAATTTTTCATACAATGAAGACAAAAGGGCTTGTTGCTGTGAGAGATGTCAGGCTTTTCTTGATTGATTGGAAAGCCTGATCATTTAGTTTTTCATCTCAGAGGAAACAGCAGTGATAAGGAGGTAGCTCCCTGGAGTTTTGTCTCCCAGGACATTTTCTTGAGTCTCCTCAGTGAAGATCTGAGTGCTCCTGTCCTGGTTTGGAGGTGGATCTGACAGAAGATGCTGTAGAATGTAAATTTTTGGGAGCTGGAGGAATTCACCTGGAGAGGAGAAAGCAACCTGGGATAGTGGGAGGTGTTCCTGCCCATGGCAGGGTTTGGAGCTGGATGATCTTTAAGGTCTTTCCCACCCAAACCGGTCTGGGTTTCCATGTCTCAACCTGATGTGTTCTCATTATACATATATATATACATATATACGTATATATATATAATATAAAACACAGTTACATTTATTTCTATAACTGGCTCAATATTTTTTTTCCCTTGTGAGATGTTCAATCAACTCTTAAGGTGTCGCTAAAAAAAGAATAAATTAAAGAAGGAGCTGCTCATTGTGGAAACTAATCTCTGAGCTCTTGCCCATTGTCCCAGACTTTTTTTGGGGAAAGGTGGGATATACCCTTGTAACTTGCCTAAATTAACCTTTAACAGATGAATTGGAAAGTAATTTAATTATTGTTTGGTGGATCCCAAGTGAGGGTCAAGCTTCAAACGACTTAAGGGAAAAAATTGTCAGAAAATTAGTGGAATTTGCATGGAGTGTAAGGTCAGGAGGCCTTTTCTTGTTCAAGGAGACTTTGGCTGAATATTATTAGCATGCAATTTGTGTAAAATTCATTTAAAGAGGTGATGTGCGGGTCAAGGAAGAAAAGTATCTCTTTTCTTTGTTCATACTCTCTCATGTTGGTTCTGCACCACCTGATGTGAAATAAATTACTTTTGGCACGTAGAGAAAATAGTACCCTCTCTCCAGAGTGTAAGGAATGGGGCTCTCAAAAGGCATTGCATCCCAGTGGCACAAAAAACAAGGCAATGGGAGTTTAAAGGGAAAATCACCTTGACACAAGAAATGACTTGAAAGAAAATGGAAAAATGTCTGTTGTTCAGAACAGCTCCCTTTTCCATTGTTTACTCTTTTCTTTTCAATTCAGAGCCACTGTTTAAATTTTGGAGAGCCTGAAAGATTAACCTGTCCATGCCACTGTTTTAAAAACCCTGCAAAATATATTTATTTCTCTGTAAAGATTTCATTCCTTTGTTCTGAAAAGATAATGATAATAACTTCGTTAACCTCCTGTATTTTCCATGCCTGCTTTATTCTTTTAGCTTTTAGATTGGGCCAGAGGTTGGACTTGATGATCTTGGAGATCTTTTCCTGCCACAGTGATGGGGGTTGCAAATTCCACTGTGGAGATGGAGGGATCTGGGCACAGTGTTTGCAAAGGCACCAAGTGAAGGGGAAACAGTGGGATGAGATGTTCCTGATTCCCAGGGGACACACTCATAGAATCCCAGAGGCATTAAGGCTGGGAAAGCCCTCCAAGGTTAGAAAAGCCCTCCAAGTTCATGGACTCCAACCATTCCCCAGCTCTGCCCAGGCCACAGTGACCCATTCCCGCCCTCCCCTGTGGCTCAGCTTGCCCTCCCTGGTGTGATGGGAGCCTGCCCTGCACTTTCACAGGAAGGATAAAATGGATGAAAAGGTAACCAGGTTACAGGCACCAAGTATCCCGGGACTGTTTGCTAGCAGCTCATTCCCATGGCATTCCTGCTGGAGTTACTCCTTGCTGGAGTCTCTCAGAGCAACTGAGCGTGGCTGGCTCAGGGATTAGGGAGCGCTGGGAGCTCCTGCAATAGAGCAGCACTGGTGTTTGTCTGTTTATAATTAATTTTTAGTAGTCTTTTTGTTGGGCATTCGTGGCCACAAGCGAACTCTGCAGGTTCTGGCGGTGCAGAAGGTTTAATTTTGCTAATCCTGTTTTATTCCCATTTCAGTGTAGCTGTTTCAATGCCACAACATGGTGCCTGCAATGAATTTCAAATGTATTTTCGGATGGCATTGTCTTGCAGAATGGGAGAGAAAATCATCCCTCCCAAATGCCGTTTGCAGGGGCTCTTTCCTGCTGGCTGGAAATCCCACCCTGCATACAAAGCAGGGAGGAAGCACAAACCTCTTCCTCACAAGCTCTCAAGCCCCTGCCACGATTACAACCTTTTTATCTGGGATAAAAAGCATTTTCTTTCATCCTTCTCAATAAGAGTGTTTTGCTTTTACCGTTTGGTACAACACCTAATGCAAGCCGCACTTACTCTGTCATTTTTTTCCCCTGAATTATGATTTTTTTATACTCTTCACACACACAAGAGTACAAATGAAATGGTGCCTGGCATTGAAAAGGCGCTTTAGAGAAGCAGCTGTGATTCCAGCTCTGCCTGGGAGCAGGTCCAGCTGTCACTGGGTGGTTTTTGGGGAGGAACAATGCAAAGGTGAAGAGTTACCATCCTAAATTTTATTCCATAAAATCACAGAATGGTTTGGGTTGGAAGGGACCTTAAAGCTCATCCAGTCCCATGGGCAGGGACATCTTCCACTAGATCAGATGCTCCAAACCCCATCCAACCTGGCTTTGGGCAATTCCAGGGATGGGGCAGCCACAGCTTATCTGGGCAGCCTGGTTTTGCACTGATTTTATTAAAGATCTTCTTAATGCTCTTAATGCTGTGTGTCAGTGAAGCCACTGGTGGAATTCTGAGTCTCCCTCTCTCTTCCCATTTGCTTATAACCCTGATTTCCTTTCCTTGGAGAATGGCTCCTTCAGTGCTAACTTGGGGGTGGAGGGACAGCTAATTAATTAAGCACTAATTGTTGTCAAGTCAATCGGTGCTAACGTGTAATGTTTGACTTGTTTACTCTCCCGAGGTAAAGTGAAAGGAGTTAATGATGTAACAAATTGTGTCCCCTATCATGAGGGACTTGTTCGAGAGAATGGTGTTATTTATGAACTGTAAAATAACACATTTTAGCAAAACCCCCAGATTTTGAGGTGAGATGGGTTTGGTTCTGGTGTGAAATTACCACTAGATAGCTGCGGAGACAAATGCGTCGCCTAATAAAGCTTAATGACTGATTTTCCCATTAATCAGAACTGAGAATGTGCTTCATTAAGATAATTAACTGAGCCAGTTGCTTAACTGACAGTTAGGAGACACAAATTCCCAAGTCACTTGCTTTCCTCCCAATAAAACCCACAAGAAGCTGACCCTGCTGTGTGGTTTTTATCAGCGAGGGGAGCACGAGGGATGCTGAAATCTCCTCGCTCCTGGAAACTCCAACTGTGGGACCAGTTGGAGTTTCCATGAGCAGCCAAGCCTTGGCCTCCAGGTTTTCACAGTCAGCTCACGCTGAAAGCTCAGCAAGACCTGCCCTTCTCCATCTCGCCAGCGGCAAATGATCTTTCATCTGCCGCTCTCTGAAAGGTCAGGTCTTCGGTGCGCTCGGTTTTATCGCCCAAGAACCGCTCGCTCTTCCAAGGGGGACAATCCCTTGCCTGGCTTTGTGGCTCCTCCTCTTTGTTCATCTCACGCTGGAAGTGGGGTCATGAGTCCTGAGCCCAGGGATGTGGAAGATGAATCTGCTCCGGGGGCATTTGTAGGCAGAATATGCAGCGCCGGAGAAGTTGTGGGAATTAGCGGAGAGATCCAAAAGTTGAATTATTAAATATGCTATCTGGTTGGAACGTCTGCTTGTAAATCCCTTCCTTCACAGCTGTCTGTGTCTGGAATTCTAACAGGGTGATGCTATCAGGGCTCTGCACACAGACAGCGACTCGGGAGCCAACCCAAGGCAACCGTCTCAACTCTGCTTTTCTTTTGTCCTCAGAGTTCCCGGTCTTCCAGCATGAATCCTGTTTACAGCCCCGTCCAACCTGGGGCTCCCTACGGAAACCCGAAGAACATGGCCTACACAGGTAGGACAGGGGCTGGGGCTGTTGTGATCTCTGTGTGTGGTGTGGCTGATCCCTTAATGAGGGAGAAAGGTTTCCCATCAGGGAGCCGGATGGGAACGTGGCTGGCAGGAAAAGCCCTTCAGCAAGGGTGGTGAGAAGAGCTGGAGCTGAATTCATGCAAAGAGGATGCCCTGGCAATCCTAAGGAAAAGGATCCAAAGGGCTTTTTTCTTTAGATTAACAAACATGCCAGCAGGTGCTGGGACAGCCCAGCAGGAGGGCTCCCCTGAAGCACTGGGGTGCACGGGCTGGAATAATCCAGCTGTGGGAATGAGGATCCCACAGCCAAGAGCCCCTTGTTTGGAGAACATCCAGGTATTGTGATAGGTGGTGGCTTAAGCTACAGTATTGACTGTTGTTATTTTATATTCCAAGTTGTGCTTTGGTTGAGTTAATCTAATGTGGAAGAGCAAGTCTGTTTTCTGTTTGAAACCTTCTTTAGAACTGAGTTGTCTAAAAATGTCATCCTTATTACTTGATAAAGATGTTTACCATCATTACATAACTAGTGGGGAACTTAAAGTGTACTGATATGGAAAGAATTCATTTGGGACAGAAGTGGTGCTTTGGAATAAGAAAATCCCAGTTCAGGTGTATCTGGTTTTCCCTGTGGCTTATGTTCACCTTGACTTACTATGATCTTGAACCCCCTTACAAAATCAGCCCTGGAAAACTCCTCTTTATGCTATTTTGGGGTATGCAATCAGCTCTTGGGTGTCATGTTGTGTTAGAGCTTCCTGCTTTCTATTTGCGTTGACTTTCACCTCATGTGTGGAATTGTTTGGGAACGTGCTTTTGATGAGGAGAGTGGTCACCAGCAGATGGGAATGAGCATCAAATACTCTGAGCTGCTTTGTGCATGGATGTTCTGGTTGGGTTTGGCAGCCCTTCCAGCTGGTGGATCAGTGGGGCTGTGAGGAGCCCAGTCTGAGACTCTGCAGAGCAGAGAGTTCCTCAAAGGCGATGTGCCCCATTTTTATTCATCCTTTCTTTTTCTCATTCCAATTTATGCAGCTGCTTTGTTGGAGATACTGTAGCTTGGGGGAACTTTGGTCTCACAGTCAAAGCACAAGAGGCTTGAAAAAAACCCAACAATCTCTGTGAAAAAATCTCTTCAAAAATCTCCCCATTGTGCAGGACTGTGGACTCCAGCAGTGCCTGGGTGATAGAACAAGCTCATAAGTGCACAGTTATTTTCCTGCTCTGGAAATAACAGGAATTTTTTGACTTTCCAGCACAAGAGGCTACTTCTCTCCCACTTTACTTTGATTTTTTTTTTTTTGGCATCTGCCTAAAGCTCCACCCTAATATCCATTCAATGTACGTTTCTGTATCTGCTTTCGTACAATCCTGGGTGTCTTAGCAGCTGCTTTCTGGCACTTGATGAGACAATTTAATTTAAATATTGAGGTGCAGATTGGTCAGAATTTGGACCTTGACCTTTTTTAGAAGACTTTTAGAGGGAGAATTCTGCTTTAGATGAAGGGATTAATGGAAATCCAGAATGTTTTAGGTGAAAGTGGACCTTAAAGCTCGTCTGATTCCACCTTCTGCAATGAGCAGGGACACCTTGCAAAGACCAGGCTGCTCCAAGCCCTGTCCAGCCTGGGCTTGAGCACATGAATTCTGCAGGACTCCATTTGGAATTAGTCAAGTGCCAACATTAATGGGATGTTGTCTTCTAAAGTGACCTGCTGGTTGATGGCTGTGGAGTTCCTACTGTGCCCTTAACTCTGTAAAATTTGACTTGGCCAACTTGTGCCAGCTTTGATCCATGCAGGGATCAGGAGGATGTGGCCCCCATGGTTTCATCCCAAACCATCCTTCAGGCATTTGTCTTCCAGAATTTGTGGTAAATGCACTGCAATCAGTGGTGGATGTGCAGGATAATCTTGGGGGAAAAAGCTGGAGGCAGATCAGACTGGGAAAATTAAAACAAGGTCCTCGGTTATGTCAGTGGTAAAACAAAGAAACAAATGTGGGACAGCACAGCAGGAATATTCCTGCTGGATTGTTCCATGCCCAGGTGGAAGGTGAGGAGTCAGTGGGCTGAACTCTTGCAGTGAAGTCCCAAAATAGAAGTCAGAAAGCACTTAACAGAAGAATTTTTTTTTTTTTTTCTGGGCAAATAGTATTACAAACCCTTTTAAATCTGAATTTGTTTGAATATGTAATGAAAGACTCAAAGTTCTATAGCGAATGAGGAGGAGAAAATTTAAATTTTAGCCTCTGTAGAGAAAAGACAGGCAGCTCCTGAGGGTGGTCTGAGCAGCTGTGAAAAGAGCTGTGGAATAAAACTCAGGTGGGGTAGAGGCAGGAGGAAAGCAGGGATGGTAATCAGGACACTGGCAGGTTGAATTCTGTGCTTTTGTGGGGGGTTTTTCATGCTAAATGTGAATGCTCTATACTACTTAATATTTTGTGTGTTGTTTTTATCTATATGGTATCTTTAGTCTGAAACAATGAGTTTTAATGATTTTCTTTTCATTCTGACTTTTGTGTTGTTTCCTGGCAGAGCAGGGAGAGAGGTCTATTGCAAGATAAATAATCCAGTTTTTTCTGCCAGATTGGCTGTTAGGGAAAATAGGAAATCCTTGAGTTAGGGAGAATGGGAAATCCTTGGCACATACTCAAGTACTTGTTGAAGCATCCGTTTATTCAGATTCTTGATTTTTCCATTTTGATCTTCCTTAATGGAAGTGTGAAGGACAGTTATTTCCTAAATCATTTTTCAAGTGTGGTCAGGATTGGCTGGATTTTTATGGGAAATAATAATTACATTTAAAAAAGGAAGTTTTAAAATACAGTTACTTGGGGAGATAAAATCAGAATTGTTCAACTCATAGGAGAAATCTTTATGAAAACAAGATTGTTTGAACTAAGGGATTTATTAAGCACCTGTGGCTTCTCCTGTGTCTCACTCTTGGGGTCCTTAGAACGCCCAGATCTGTTGAATTCCCCCCTCCTTTCCCGTTTTTTGTTGGGAACTGAAAGAGGAGGAGAAAACTTGTGCTGGCAGTGTTTGCTGCTGCTGGATGAGCAACTGTGGAGCTGAGGGACGGTGGCACAGGGAGAATGTTCTGGCTGCAGGCAGAGCTGCATCTGCCCAGTGCCAGCTCTGAGCTCCAAGTGCTGGCTCCTCGTGCCCGGCTGGTGACGGCTTCCACTCCGCTAATTCCACGGGTTTTGGAACATCGGCAGCAGTGTTTCAGCCTTGTTTACTGTTTAATTAAACCAGACTGTAATTAAGTTGGATCTTCATGTAAGCTGCTGTTTTAATTGAGGCTAATTTATTTAAGGCCTCCAATTTGCTTTTTTTGTTCTTGGTACAATTCACTTTACCTGCCCCAAGCGGGGGCTGCCGAAGCACCTGCTTTTCCTCTGGCACATTACCCTTCCCATTGCCTTGCACCCTTGCACTGCAGGAAGGCACCAGTGCTGCAGTAAATAGATTAGCCCATTGGTGTGGAATCAGGGGTGAAGAATCAGTCTCTCCTGGAGCTGGTTTGACTTCAAGCGTGAAACTATAAAGTGTTTGTGATAGCTCACACCGTTTCCCCTCTCCCTCCCAGGAGCTGATTAATATGCTGATAAGATGCTGTGATTCATGAACCTCCGCCAGGCTGGCTCTGTGTTCGGTGCAGTTATTCCTAAATAATAAATGGCAATAAAATCCAAGAGGCCAAGGAAGCAGGGCTGGCTGGGGAATCTCCAGGGGGTTTGTGTCACGGCGTTCCTCGGGTCCTGCTGCGGCACCGCCTGCTCGCAGGATGCTCACAGCATCCGGGGATGCTCCTGCAAGGGACCTGGAAGAACATCTCATTCCAGTCCCCAGCCTTGGGCAGGGACACCTCCCGCTGTCCCAGGCTGCTCCAAGCCCCAGTGTCCAGCCTGGCCTGGGACACTGCCAGGGATCCAGGGGCAGCCACAGCTGCTCTGGGAAAATTCCATGCCAATCTCCCATCCAGCCCTGCCCTCTGGGAAGCCATTCCCTGTGTCCTGTCCCTCCATCCTTGTCCCCAGCCCCTCTGCAGCTCTCCTGGAGCCCCTTCAGGCCCTGCAGGGGCTCTGAGCTCTGCCTGGAGCTTCTCCTCTCCAGGGGAGCAGCCCCAGCTCTGCCAGCCTGGCACAGAGCAGAGGGGCTTTCCCTGCATGGGACCCCTTCATGCTCCTGAAGAGCAAGACACATCCCTGAGCTGGGCTATTTGCAGCACTCCCAAGTTGAAAATTCCCAACTTTTGTCATTTTTTTCTTCCCCAAGGTGAAACCACAACATTTGTTTGGACATAATGATGAGCAGAGGGAATCTGTGCCCTCTGGCGCTTGGTTTTGTTGGCAGGACAGGAGGTGAAGGATTCTCACGTGTGCTCCTGCCCTAATCCCTGTCATTTGTGTTCAGACCTCAGACACAACTGCACATGTGAGGAGTGACCTCATTTACTCCTGACTGTTCCCTTAATTTATTGTGATGTTGAAAGGCAGTGGCCTTCGATGTTGCAGGTGACTGAAGGATGTTCCCATAGGATTTCTGCTGTTTTTTAATCCTCCTTTGCATACTCTCTGTGGGACAAAGATAATTCTAGGCATGATTTCAGCTTCCCTTATTAGCTGACAATTAAAAGTTTGCTGTATTCTTCTCTGGAAATGCTGGGCCTTTAATGACAGATCAGCTCTTAGGCCACACAAACCATGTTCTTTCCGAACTACTCTGTGAAAGGGATTGAACTTTATATTTTTTCTCTTTCTTTTTGGCATTCCTCAGCATTTTCACGGGGAGCACTGAGGAACACGGGGCAAATGGCAGGGTTGAGGTGCTCTCTCCTTACTTCTCCTTCTGCTCTGAGACGTGCCTACACGTCAGCCCCTTCCATTGATTGGGAAATGCCACTCCTGGATTTAATTAGGTGATCCATCGCTTACCGGCTCTGTAAAACAGGAATTCTAAACCGTGTTCAGGGTGTT